CCACCGAGAGGTAACAAAGACACATCCAAATCATGAAAAGACAAACCAAACAAAATGCAATAACAATTCATAGGAATAAAACCATCCCAGCAAGAAAAGTTCGAAGGTTGCAGGGATAAACCACCCCGAAAAATTACATTCATGGTCTTTAAAAAGCAGGAAAAATGAACGTTCAAAAACTTGGAGCCATTCAAGCATCGCCATCCGCGTCCTTCACTCCACTCGGTCCAGGCCTGCCGAGGTCCGGGCTCTCGGACACCTGTTCTTCGTTCTCATCAGATACCTCAAACGGCACATGCTTGAGCGGGGACGGACTCTCCGCTTGAAGATCAAGAACGGACTTGGACAGCGCGGGGATACCATTCTTCCTGTCAAAGGTCAACTCGTCTTCGTCTGGAGGCAGCTCACCCGTCCTCAGGGCCGGGGCAATGTTGAGTCGGTCACATTTCAGGGCACAGATCCCCTTCATATCTTCCAGTGTCCGAGTGCCGCTTTCCAGACCGAGGATCACCCAGTTGAGAGTAAGCGCGGCATTGAAATCCAAGTCCTTAGCATACTCCTCGATCTTCTTATACTCGTCAATCGAATATGCTCGTCCGTCGGCCCGGCCCTTTTAAAGTCCTCTCTTCTCAACTTCGGCTTCTACGGCCTTCCTACTCTGGTCTGCCCGACTCCATAATTCCTGCAATTTGCTCAATTCTTTCCTCTCTCTTCAACACCTCAACCTCGCCTGTTAGGTAGGCGACCCTCTCCTTCAGAAGTTTGTTCTTTTCACCGTTGACTTTCAGTGACTCGATCACCCCCTCGCAAACCCCGTGATCGAGCTGCAGTTTTCCATATGCCGCGGCTAGCTGCCGAGCTGAGGTAAGTGCAGCGGAGTGAGCACATAGAGCCCGGCCCATCAGTCCGGCAGAATATTCTAACTTCTCCACAACGGTCAAATTTTGCAAGTTCTGCTCCGACGGGAGGTCTCATCCCATCAGTGGAGTAGTCGCGGCGTCCATCACGTGAGCCAGCCAGAAATGCGAATTGTTGATCCGCGGGTTGGCCACAGACTTGAACCGAACGAACCAGTCTTCGACAATTCCCTCTAGCCGCTTGTGCTCCTCGGCCCGCCGCTCGTCAATTTCAAGGTAGATAAGGGAGCCGTCTTGACGAGCGTGGGCAAATTTTTCCCTCTCC